GTTCGTTGAATGGTCAGAGGTCGCAAATGGTGAACCGTAGGCATACAATAAGTGGCACAGTCAATCCCGAGGTTCTCGATCAGCTACATTAGGGGGTGTCAGACTTGATCAAAATCCAAAAATAATCACATGCCATTTCGCCCCAAATCACATGTGTTTTTCCGGCTAATAGCATGTCATTTCATAATTACCCACCTCCAGAGGTGGATGGATGATTATGAGTAAAAGGTGCGGATGAATTCCCGTAAACATGTTCTCTTCTTCTTTCCTCGCCAAAAGGAAACATCCCGCGTGCGCAGCAAAGGCGGTTTGCCCTCGTCTATCCAAGACGATACATGTGCTACTGACCCAAACGGGAACGTCGTCACGGTGTCAGCGGCATTAACCTCCGTGCTGCAACTCCTCCACGATCGTAACACTACAGAGCACATTGCTACTACAGGAGGACGGCCAGCTAGCAGCCAAGCTGGACGACGTCGTCCACCTAATTGACGGTCTTCTGAAGCCTGTTAGGACACCTAGAGCGCGTCTGGCGCAGACTCGCAGCGTCCTGGAGCTGGTGCACTTAGTACTAGACCCTAACATTCTACAGGCCGTGGAACTGTCCAGTCAACGCCTCAATGTCCGCAACAAACTCAAGCTGCTGCTTGTGAGACTTAAGGACACAAGCGATGAGATGTCTCGACTCTCGGTGAGTGTACTGGTCTATTTCTTGTCGAAAAGTGACGATACGTCAGCTTATGCGCAGTGGAGGCCTCAACGTGTTGGCCGTGGAGCTAGTGAAACAGGTCTATAGACTCGAAGAATTGCTACCGTCGACTCAGAAGGACAAGGTTACTGTGGAATGCGCTCGCTCGCTGCATCATATCAACTCGGTACTGCGCGTCTTTGACCAAGCTACGTTTCTGACTGTGGATGTGCAGCAGTATGTTTCTAGGCAGAGAAATATCTTCGCAGTACTGCTGAAACTCATCAAGTTGTTGAGTGAATTGAGTTGGGGCAGGGAAGCACGAACCAGATGGGGAGTTGGGCTCTCAAGGATGTCGTTGGTGGTGGAAGTGTTGCTGTCGGCCTTGCGCGTGCTGCTTAATTTGACCCACCACAACGCTGAGGCTGCAGGTCATGTACATGCGCTTGAGGGCATGCAGCTTCTTGTCAACGCGTTCTCTCAGGTGTGGGGAGCAGTGGAGACGCACAAACTTCAGTCGTCGACACAGAAAAAGAATGAGTTTGACTCGTGTTTACTGCTACTGAGCGTCATGGTGAACAGCATCGAGCTGGCGAGGAAAACCGTGACGCGCTGGCTGCCTGGAGTTATGACGATGGTGCTATGTCGGCCCAAGCT